CCGCTAGCAAGGCAGGGTGCTGGGAATACAGGCTGAAGCTGAGACAGGCCCAGACCCAGTGAGACCCTGCAAAGATGAAGAAGGGTACAGGAGGCTCCAAAGCCAGGGGGACCCTTTAGGGTTCTCTGCCCCTCCAAAGTTTCAGGATCCCTGATGACCCCAAGGAAGGAGGGAACAAATGCGGGGGACTCATGCTCAGGGCCGCCCTCAGGGTCTAGCTGGGGGTCCAGGGTGAGGCCCAGAGCATGAGTTTTGTTTTCCATTTTTCTGGACAGAGTCCAGGCTCAGCCTTCTGGGCTCCAACGGCTCTACCTTCGAGGTAGAAGCCCCCACAGGCCATACAACACTCCTTGGAGCTCAAAATGTGCCCTTGCCCCAGCCCCTGCCTTCTGGAGAGTGCTGGCTGGACATTGTCCCCACAGAGCCCATCCAGTCTGGCCCCTCTGTACACAGCATACCCAACCCACCAACCCTAGTCCCATACCTGCCAACAGGAGAGCACATGCAACTTTCCCTAGCAAGAATGGAGGGTGTGATGCATCTGGAGACTTTCCTGGGCACAGGCTTCAGGACACCAGCCTGGAACCACCTATCCTAACCCCAGTTCCTTGGTGCCCTTCATGGCTGGAAGCCTGTCATCTCCCTAACCTGAGGCCAGTGACGGTGACTCTACAGTGGAGTTTTGCAGGACTTCTGTCTGTGCCCTCCTGGAGCTGACCAGCCATAGCCCAAGTCACTTTCTCACCAGATGAGAGGAGAAGGCAGGCTCCAGCAGCCCAGGCCAAACCCAGGCCCCAGGAGGAGGTGCTCCCTGAAGGGCATGGTCCCTGCCTCCTCTTCTGGCTGGTGGGCAAGAGGGGCAGGCCACTCTTCTAAACCCTGGCCTCAATCTCCTGCTAACAGGCCCTGGTGCTCACTGGCCAAGGCCCTGCCTGAACTCCTGTGCACTGGCTGGACTTCTGTCCATCCCCCTCCCTCCCATCCAGTGAAGGGCAGGAGGGAGGAGGAGGAAGGATGGCCAGCAGCCAAGCTCAGCCAGCCTGGCTGGAGCAAGGTGGGCAGGAGGGGCCCTGGGGTGCCATGGCACAGCCTGGAGGTGCAGAACAGCTTCCGGGCAAAGCCCGGGACAAGATCAAGTGAGATCAAAAAGCAGGTGCCTGGCACATCCAGGCAGGAGAGCCAAGCCCAGGAGGTCCTTCCAGTGGGGGAGACTCATGGAGAGTATATCCTGAATGCAATTAAGAAAGACAGGTCAGGGCACCTAGGGTGGGTCAGTTGGTTAAGTGACCGACTCTCTGATTTCAGCTCAGGTCATGATTCCAGGGTCCTGGGATCAAGTCCCAAGCTGGGCTCCCTGCTCACCTGGGAGTCTGTTTCTCCCTCTCCCTCTGCCCCTCCTCTTCCCCCCGCATGTGCTCTCTTGCCCCTGCCCTCTCTCTCTCAAATAAATAAAATCTTAAAAAGAGAGAGAGAAAGAAAGAGAGGAAGGAAGGAAGGGGGGGTGGAAGGAAAGGGGGAGGAAGGAAGCGGGGGAGGGAGGAAGACAGGTCAGGGGAGCCTGGGTAGCTCAGTTGGTTAAGACACTGACTCTCTGATTTCTGCTCAGGTCATGATCTCAGGGTCGTGGGATTGAGCCCTGCCTCAGGCTCCAAGCTCACAGGGAGTCAGTTTCTCTCCCTCTCCCTCTGGCCCACCCCCTGCTCATGCTCACTCTCTCTCTCTCTAAAATACACGAATAAATCTTTAAAAAAAGAAAGAAGGGGCGCCTGGGTGGCTCAGTTGGTTAAGCGACTGCCTTCGGCTCAGGTCATGATCCTGGAGTCCCGGGATCGAGTCCCGCATCGGGCTCCCTGCGCAGCGGGGAGTCTGCTTCTCCCTCTGACCC